GCCTGGGCATCTGATCATTGGCATATTATGAGAGTTGGGTAAATACGTTTCACAGAAGAAAAAAAAAACGCATAACAAACTGTACGCATGGTAAGCAGTATATCTTTCCCATGTATTCTGTGAGAGCTGATTAACCCCAGCACCCTCGCACGTACCTTGGTATGATCACACGGACGGCCGTTGATGGCGATAAACTGACGGTCGGTCGCGCTACGGCCCTTGCCGTGCTCACAGGACGACACCAGGCCCTGAATAATTAGAATAAACAGATGAATAAATGATCAGACGTCCACCCTTGGACGACGGAACATACATGGTCACTGGTCATTCAAATTACTGTCTACGATCGTCACGATGTAGCCCATATTGATGATGTTTCAGGAAGTGTCCTCCCCTTCCGTCCAGCATTCTATCTTTATCCATATCCCACCAGATTATTTGCCATGAACACTCACCTAGAATAACAACCATGCACCACTCAATCTCGATAACAGTACTTAATCTTGCGTCGGTTACAAAACATGAGAGTATCTGATCTTCGTTTACCCAAGTCTTGACTCTTGTGCACAATGAAAGAGAAATTGCATGATCGAAAATAATGTTCAAAATGTGGTTAAAAAAGTCAGTCAGGCTCAGGCACAGGAACTCAGGCAAAGCAACCGGTATATCTCCAGCCCACCCAGTTCCAGCGCTCCCCATCTGTCGCACCTGCACCGTGACTTTGGGCTGTGTCCGCTCGGCCGCTGCGCCCAGCCCGAACTCGGCGCGCGTCCCGTCTGACGGTACAGTCGGCTGGAGCGGCAGCAGGGTGGCCGTCTGCTTCTGACCGAACAGCGCCGTCACGCGCTCGGGCAGCGCCGCCACGGCCGGAGAGCTCAGCAGCACGCTGCGCCGGCCGGCGGCCGCCTGCTGGGTGCACACCAGTCTGGAGAGGGACGGGCGGTCACGGAGAATGGCACGACCAAGGTCTGACGCAGCGGAGGGGAGGGGGTGTGATGGAGCCTGGAGGTCGAGTCGAAAACGGCGACAGGTCGGCGATCGTGAAAAGTCTGGAAGGCAAGTGATGAGTGAAGATCAGAATGACCGACTGACGGCAACACGTTGTACAGTCTGGTGACTGAAGTTAATGTGAGGTGGGCGAACCTCTGGATTCTGAATGGTTCTGCAAATCTAGCCAGGTAACTAAACTCGGCGTGCGTGTAGATTACAGCAAACAAAGTAACTACTGAAACCTGCCATCTAATAGTCGCTCTGCCTCAGCTGATATGACCCGACACCGTGTGCTGACTGACCTGACACCGTCGGCAACCAGGGCATATCCCCAGAGCAGCTGCAGGAGGTCAGTGACCTCACGGCGCGCCCGGCCACAGAACTGCCGCCGCCGCACCGGCAGAGTGCTGAACAGCTGGCGCACGGTCACCGTCGTACCCACCTGAACGGAGGACCAGTAAACACAGTGTAGCAGCAATAACAGCAACGCATGAAGAAGATTACGGAAAATAAAAACATCAATTAGAGCAAGTACTTTCCCGCTATTGAAACAAAGAGTATTGTGTTGTTTTTCATCCGTCCTTACCTGCCGGGCAGCTGGAGTTCGTTCGATGAGACGACCGTTTATATCAAACTTGAGTCGGGTGGCGACCGGCGCCTGGCGGTGACGTGTTACCATGGACACGTCGGCCAGTGCACACAGCGACCCCAGAGCCTCCCCACGGAACCCGAACGTCCAAACGCCGGGCAGATCGTCAAACTCGCGCAACTTGGAGGTGTGGTGCTTCAGGGCTGTGGACACAATACAACCCAGCTTTGAGTGCTCCAAAAACCAATTTTTACGAACAGTCTAACAAAACCGCTCAAACGTAATTGAAAAAGAAAGTCAGGTTAGCATGCCGAAGAAACGTGCCAATAGCATCATTCAAGCGGAGCACGCACTAAAAATTTGTGAAAATACATCTTCTAAGTTGCCATAAATCGTGCAATGACGTACCTACGGCCTCGAAGTCGTCCGCTGTGATTCCGTTGCCGTTATCGATGACCTCAATGCTGGTGGTGCCGTGGTCGCAGAGGTGGACCTCCACCGAAGTAGCGCCGGCATCCAGCGCGTTCTCCAGCAGCTCTTTTACCGCCGAGCGGAGGCTGGTTATCACCTGGATAAAACAAAACTCAGTTAGTTGGGTGAGCATACTACGATAAAAAATACCCCAAAGGCCCTAACCTACCTTAGTCGGGGAATTGAAATTCACTTGCCCTAAATTCCTCTAAGGAATATCGTGGAAGGACAGTTCCCCGCGGCAGTTACACAATGGACACGAAGGAGCTCAACTCTCGTGTACACACGGGAAGGGGAGACAGTTTTGGGAGCCATTGTTTCATATGATTAACCCTCGCCCGTGTAGCCCGAACGGACCCCCCCCCCTCGGTTTTTCGCGAATAACTCGCGTAAAAACGGCTGATCGCGACGAAAATTTCAGCACCATCGAGTTATTCAATTTTACACCAATCCTCAAAAATTTCATGACCCTGGCCGAAGTGACCTTTGACCTATTTCTCGAGACCATGTTTGGCCGGAATCACGATTCGGCGTATATCGGCTCGCATTAGCCGCACGTTTGCAGTCTTTTCGTGGTTTCAAGCGTTCGAACATATGATATGACGCTGGTCCCATGCATTAGGGTGGGTGTCAAGGTCACCTGAAAGTCAGATGAGGTCACTGACCTTTGATGACCTCGGTTCACACATATTTCCATGTTTCACATATTTCCAGGCTAGTTTTTTTTTTTTAGCTGAATTCGAATTTTAGCAGCATTGTGAACATTTACGAAGTAGTTTTGGTGCCTTTGTAAGATGTTACACAGCTGTCAGAGGCGGATGACACGTACTACGAATAACCGGCAGAACCCCTACTGGTTGACCTGACCTGACCTGACCTGACACGACCTGGCCTAAATGCATGAAGACATCATCTGTGATGAAAACTAACATGATATTCGTAGTCCACCCCGAAAAAAACCCATAGCAGCCACACTTTACGACGTTCTAACAGGTCCCGATTTTCCCGAATCTTGGGTCATTGCCCTGACCTGAGAGGTCAACCAATGACCTAGGACCTTAAACTTGGGTATCATCGGCTTCCTCTCGTCACGGGTAACACGCTCATTTTTTCCGCGAAGCTCTAGCTCGATCATGGGTCAAACGGCAAGGGGGTCTAACAGGCCTCCCCCCCCTTACGTTCGCGGCTGGCTAAACGCCAATACGGGCGAGGGTTAGTTGAAAAAGTATGAATATTTGATGTTCATGTGTCCATATATCCATACATCATATGGACTCCAGCACCTTGCACGTCATAAACACAGTGAAGCATACCCATGTACCTACACACAGGAGAGACTGGCCTCAGATCAGCAGGATATAAAGTCACTTAGATATCATTACACAAGGATGGATTATATTCAATACCTATGATTCAGACCATCCTTGAGTTAACTTTGCATCAATTTGTTAATTAAAAAGGAAATCTGTACATAGCCAAAATACAAACTTGTGCTGTTTGTTGTCTCACTGGGCAGGGAGTTGGTTATATGGACTCAACCTGAACTCAACCATAGGCATGAAGCAGGCACAGTTCATCTCTCTGTTATTTCTGGGTGCCTGATACCATAAACTCTGTTATTTCATTTTTTAAAGAATCCACACAGTAAGAAGTCAGTAACACCAGTTACTGACACCAGCACCAGTACTTACTGATTAGTTATTGAATTCAATTTCCTCCTCACCTGGCCAGAGCAAATATTGTGCACAGTGCCTTTATCAATTCTCTTGATTGATGCCTCTTGGCTGGGTTGCACATTTTCTTGAGTTTCAAAGTCAGCCTCTTCATTGACTAGCTTTTCCATATTGGAGCAATGTTGATCTGCAGTTCCTGAAATACAGCCTTTGGCTAGTGATACAAATATGAGCTTCTATAACACTAACAAGAGAAATTGTTTGCTCATATGAACTATTTTACATAATTCAATCAGGCATCTATACTGTCTGGTATTGATTTAGTTTAAATTGAGAGCATTTTAGGGGCTTATGAAGACCATTGCATATTGTATATGTAGGTACCTATGTGATGAGAGCCGGGAGGAGTTGGTGAGTGAGTATGCCACAATAGTGATGTGACAGCTGTTTTTTTTTTTTTTTGCTATTCGGTTTACTTTGCCGATAAGAGGATATTCACATTTCCTTCACTATGATGATAAATTGGCTGAGTGGCCAGCTGTTCCAATCCAACACCCTGCCACTTGAACAGTCACCTCAGGGGCTGCAGGTGACCAGGATGAAGTAAGCCGTATCACTGATTGGCTTGCAGTGATGGCCACTTACTGTCTCCATTAAACCTGAAAAGTGTGGCAAAAGACTGAACTGAGGTAAAGAAAAACAGCACCAACAGGGATGGGATAGCAATTCAAATTCCACACTAGCCAACAATCAACACCAGTGAGGCCAGAAATACATTCTAGCCAACATTTATAAATAAAAAAAACTTTTACCCGAACAAACCAAACTTATGAAGTGCAAAAACTAGGGTATATAGAACAGCGTCAAGCTGGTTGAAGCAGTTGCAAAAAAAATGTAAAGAGTCATATCGAGTCGCATGAGACCTGCCCAGTTGCCTATTGCCTATTGACGACTCAATGCGTGTAAAGCGACGGACCTCTATTGAAATTTGGCGGTACATTCTCTTTCACAAACGTCACATGTGCGCCAGTTTGTTGAAAAGGTTTGAATAGTGTTCAATTTTATTACTTCAAAGCGCGAGTGTTTCATGATATATTTCTATTTTCTTATGTATTCTGCCTTCAGAATTCAACAAAAATGTTCTAATTATTTTCTTTTATTTTGCAATATGCCCTGCCAAAAAAAATTAAAAACACGTAACCTTTTGCCAGATCTTGCTGAACTTTTCTTGGTGAATCAGCAGCATCTGGGACTACTATGTTATGAATAGAACACACATTCTTTTAATGCGTTTTGTTTGTTCGTTTGTACTTTGTACTACGGCCTTGAGAGTTTGTACGTTTGTTTGGTTTGTACGTTACAGTTTGTGCCTTGGTTTGTAAACTTTCTGTCCCTCCGGGTTATTTCAATTTATAAGAGTGATATATGGCATAGTATATGACATATTTTGTCTCTCTGAAGCTGTGTTGGTGCTGGAACAATTCACTTTTTTTTTTGCCCAGGGGACTAGACCAAGACGAGGTGCTCAGTGCTCACTGACCCAGACCTGGTTCATGGATGGTTTTGGATTGATTAGATTTGGAAGCATTGGATTGAACGGATGTGCATGGATACGGGGCGGGCCCTGTTCAAGGCACTGCACTTAATTACACCAGGTGGTGCGGTGGTGCTGCGGGTTTCCATGAAACCAACAAATTTGAATGCTCGCATTAGGATCAGGCAGATTGCATATCGCAATGCTGAAGGGTCATGGCAAAATAATCTCAAACGCTGTACAAATACAATAGATCAATAGTGCTCTCTTCAGGAAAACCCTAGAAGAGGGTAGGCTGCCGGAAGAATGGAAAACTGCCAAAATCACTCCAATATTCAAGAAGGGATCCAGAAGCAAGGCGTGTAATTACCGACCAGTAAGTCTGACCAGCCAAGTTTGTAAGATACTTGAGAGGATCATTCGAGCGCAACTGATGCATCATATGGAAATCAACAACTTGCTCAGCAAACATCAACATGGCTTCACCACCCGGAAATCATGCCAGTCAAACTTGCTGGAGACCTTTGAGGAATGGACAGAGGCACTGGACAATGACTTGGATCTGGATATAATATTCCTCGACTTCAAAAAGGCGTTTGACACGGTCCCCCACGAAAGACTAATCAAGAAGCTCAAGAGCTATGGTATAGCTGGCAAGATCTCTGACTGGATAGGAGATTTCCTACGAGACCGTAGACAGCAGGTATGTGTTGGTGAAGGACTATCCGAGTGGGGTCAAGTCAAGAGTGGGGTGCCTCAAGGTTCTGTGATAGGACCAACGCTATTCCTACTATATGTGAACGAGCTGCCGGAACTAGTAAAGAGCGGTATCAAACTCTTTGCTGACGATACAAAAGTCTATCGGACCATCAATGGAGATCAGGACACAAAGGCATTACAGGAAGACCTAGAAGTACTGTCCAAATGGTCCGAGGATTGGTTGCTCCAGTTCAATGTAGACAAATGCAAAGTGATGCATTGTGGTAGAAAGAACCAGAGGGCTAACTACACCTTAACTCAGGATGGAATTGAACACCGATTGATGAAAACAGAGCAGGAGAAGGACTTGGGAGTGTTAGTGGAGAGCAACTTGAAACCTACATTGCATTGTCATCAGGCGGCCAACAAAGCAGCAGCGGCACTTAGAAGGATAAAAAGAGCTTTTGTCAACTTTGACAGTAGCAGCTTCAAGATGCTATACACAACGTATGTGCGGCCTCACCTAGAATATTGCATGCAAGCAGTTGGTCCCTACATGGCCCAAGACTTCAAGGAACTCGATAAGATCCAGCGCAGAGCAACCAAACTGGTAAGAGGGCTGAAGAATGTACCTTATGAGGAGCGACTTAAGCGGCTGAAGATGTATGACATGAAAAGGAGGCTGCAAAGAGGCGATCTGATACTGATGTTCAAAATCATGAGAGGGATGACTGGACTAGAGTTCGACAAGTTCTTTGAAGAGAACACAGAGGAAAGAACAAGAGGACATAACAAGAAACTGAAAGTACAGAGAGCCAGACACAAACCGAGAGCAATGGCCTTCTCAAGACGCAGTGTGCAGCACTGGAACTCTCTGCCGCAAGGTGTGATCGAAGCCGAAACTGTTGACAGCTTCAAGAACAGGCTAGACCGACACTGGGCCACAACCATTCCTGAGTAATTTGTCTTTAAATCACGGCCAATGACCTATGACCGATGTGGACACCAAATAGACCATTGTCTAATCCTAGTCCACTGAACCTATACCTATACCTATCACTGCAGTGTCAGGCTGTGAAACACTGTCCAGATTAATCAGATCAAGATTATTGTTCATGGGTTAAAGTCCAACTTCACTTTTAACCCACGGCCGGCTGGGGGTCCTGGATTTCCACGCCCTGCTGAGTGCTGGCAGCTGGGGGAGGGTGTTTGAACACCCCCCTTCTAACTCGGCTCCTGGGCCACGTAGCGATACATGGAAGGCGGCGTTTGAAAGAGCGTCATAAATAAGGAAGAAATCACTTTGGTCACTTTTTGGTCAGTTCATAGGTCAGGTCAGGTCTGCTCACAAGAGGTTATTGAAGGCCAAAATTCGCTGATTTGTAGGTCAGATGCTGACAATTTTCAACAAATTGATGCACAGCTCTGAAACTAACAAAGCTACAGTGCTGCGGATAAGCTAATCTGATAGCCCTATTAATGCTCTTTCTGAGTAATCATCTGGGATTTGGCCTACCATCAACGGTTTTGCCTACAGGGGGCAAAAACTGCCAAAATAGCTGATTTTTTGGAAATGCTTTTCTGCAATAAGTTTTGATTGAAACCTTGCACAAACTTTCTTTTACCAGCATCGTGTTCCTCTCGTCAACACGCTTTGAATGAACTATCATTTGACCTTGAAAGTTAACTTGAAAATTTGACCTCAGGTCAAGCCTCAAGGTCATGACCTGACCGGTAAGGGTCAAGTTGCATATCAGTTGATCCGTTTCGTCGAGTCAAACACAACTAAAGTGTTTTCATTGCTCTAGCATGCCTCTATCAAAAGTTATTAGGATGCAAAAAACAGCCAGATACCATTGGTGAACTGAGATGACTTCAGGGGCAAAAAAGGGGTCACAGGTACCATTTTCATGTTCAGTGTGTCAAAGATGCTAGTAATTCGCACATAATTCGGTGTTTTAGAGTGTTTATAATGACTTTCGTCTAAAAAAGGCGACTTTCAATTTTCTCCTATTGACATAATGAGCAGGTCGCAAAATTGACCTGACCTCAGGTCATCGATATCAAAATTCCAAGACGAACATTTTGCACATAATGTTGCTCTTATCAGTCTCTGAGAGTTTCTAAGTGATAGGTCACTTGGTGTAGCTTTGGCAGACATGAAACTTTTTAGGTATGTAGGTAGTGAGATCACTTGACCTGACCTGATGACCTGACCTTAAGTGATCTGGGTCTGAAATTTTCACAACCTATGTAGAAAAGATGTATGATAAGGTGTGCCGCAAAAACCATAGGAGGGGGGGGGGGGTGTTCAAACACCCACCCAGCAGGGCGCGGGTTGAAAAATGTTGCATGTTCTTACATAATTTGACATCCTGGATCCAAATACGATACCCAGTCAGCATGTGGCGTGACAGAGAAGAAAACAAAACAAAAAGCATGACTTAACCTTACCTATTTACCTACAACCTACCAACCTACAACTAACAAACCTTAAAACCTACAACCCATTAGGTATTCATATTTTTAGTGGCTCTAACTTACGTTACTGGCCTCGCGAGGAGGGCGGCGGCCTAACTACGCCAAGCTGTCCTCACTAAGACCGGTGGCCACTGGGGCATTCCACGTCAAATCAAACACCGAAATCCGTCATCCCCTTCGATTTTTCTGAAAATTTGTAGGCAGACTGGTCATGGTTCAAGACTGAGTTACGTATAATATTTTCGAAATTTGATAACGTATCGCTGAGATATAGGTCATCGAATATAGCGAAAAATGCCACACATCAATTTTTTAAATGGCTATAACTCTGGTTCCTTTTCTGGTATCAAAATGATATTAACAGGGTCTTATAGGCAATTGATAAGGCTTTGATTTTTAATTATAAAATTAAATTGAAGTGACCTTGAAATGCATTTGACCTTGAATTAAAACAGAAAAACTTAAATAGCAAAAAACACGTCACCTTCGATTTGGGTAATTTTTACATATTATGTCCGTCACAATGTTCCTAACCATCTGTGAAAAAATTGGAGTGGGCCATTCATAACTTTCGCGGCAAACGCCGTTTTCATGCATCAACATCACGCAACCGCGCGTGACCTTGAAAGACAGAGTCAAGACATGCTTGCTTGTGTACACTTTCTGAAATGAATTATTGCTGATTAGTGATATCCCAAACTCTGCGAGAATGGAAATGCATAGTCATCGTAGTCAAGCATTCACGTTCCATAGTAAAAGTGTCTCAGGCAAACGGTATTTTGCGGTGAATTTTGAGCCGTGTGGAAATGCATCTGAAGTAAATTCAACGAAAACATTATCACGCAACGATGTCTTCACGTCTTTTGATCTTCACTATACGAAAGAACATACATTTTTTAGTATGTATGGGGAATTTCTAGTTAATCCAATAATAAATATGGCAGTTAGAGGCCTGCTAAGAGTAACATGTCACCGGCTGAGGCGGGCTCGGCCAATGCGGGAAACGCAGCAATCACAATTTTGTGTTTACACGTTCATATTTCAATTGTTTACCAACCGATTTTCAAAATTTTTTCACCATAAGATTGCCTGTACATTTCTTAGTCTTCTCACAAAATTTGACGCGAATCGAACGTAATCAGCGGTAGGGAGCGCGATGTAAAGACGGAACCGTTCCGTTCCGTCCCGGCACAGTCTACAATTCAGGCGGCGCGTAGCGGTCGACGCCGGCTGCCGAGTCGCCGCGTCGCCATGCGGCGACAGGATGTTCACTTTACACCGCTATTACTAGAACAGTTGTGAACCGATTTTCTTATTGCTTGCACGATGAGATGTCCAATTCAATTCTTGACAGGTAGCCATAATTAATTTCGCATTAATCTTATGATATATTGGCGAAAAACAGGAGGGGTGGGCGAAATTCGCTCTTCCCCCTCCACTGCGCGTGCTAACATACGTTTGCATATGTGCAATTTTCTTCAAAACTTATGAATGGCCCACTCTAATTTTTTTCACAGGTTGTTAAGAATATGGTAGGCAATAAAATATATGAAAATGAGCCAAATCGAAGGTGACGTGTTTTTTGCTATTTCAATATTTGTGCTTAAGAACAGAGTTAAGCAAATTTCAAGGTCATATATTTAAGTAGGTGCAATTCTAAACAAATGCTTAAGAAATTACCTAAACAGTAAGGTTTATTTCATTCAAATCAAACAAGTACAACCAAAGTTATGGTCGTTCAAAAATATAAAGATGCAACATTTTGTAAAAATTTGATGCCCTATATTTAGAAGACTTGTGGTCAGAATGTGCAAAAAACATCAATGTAATGTCCGGGGCCACACAGGAACTCGCTCACAAATTTATAATGAAATCGCTGATGGTAAGGTGCAAAACAGCCGATTTTTGTTCGATTTGACGTGGAATGCCCCCACTTTAAAAGTAAGGCAACATGTGGTAGGTACCCACCTACTTTCTACAGTATCACTAACCTGGAAACCTTGTTTCAGATTATTGAAAGGCTTTTTCCATTCACAATAAGACATGGCGGAAGATCTGGTTGACAATTTGAATACATACAACGAACAGCTGAAACAGGTATGTCGTGAATGGAAATGCAGTTGGTGGCTGCCATACCTTTGGCCAGAGAGGAATGGTGACCAGCTGGAGTATAATCTTTTGAGTGCTTGTGACTGGGTTGTAGCTTTCCCTACAGATCATTTGTCATATTTTGGTCTCACATCTTGAGTTTTCACAGCTTGTCAGCCAGCTGTCTGCTGTTTTTGCGACCGTTGTCATGTGTCATTTGGTCCCAAAGATTGGCGTGGATGTTTTTGTCGTCGTGCTCAGTGTGCGTTGCTGTTCAAACGATCCTGTAGTCAGTGGGTACCAACTAATAACCCGGCGGCAGTTGGGCCTCCGCATCTGCCAGTCGCTGGCGGGCAAATTGTTGGTATTAGGTACTGGTGCAGATGTCACACGAAGGTTTTCCAACCAAGGAGGCGTGCTTTCCCGGAGATGTTTCTTTCTAACTAAATCAAACAAAGACCACCATATGTCTCTATATCAGATATAACGTGGTCTATGAATCAAACCAAACCAAACGTAGCTCAGCCTACAACCTGCAAACTTGCAACCAAACCAACAAGCCTACAGTGCCTCTCATTGGTTGGAAAACCTTTGTGTGACATCTGCAATAGTAATGCTTATTTGCTGCCCCCTCCCCCCCCCCCCCACATACATAGCTTCTCTAAAGATATTTTCACAATGTTGTAAGGTGGATAAGCGAAACTCTTGCACGCATTTTTTAAAAAATAGTTTGCCAAAATGTTATCCAAAATGGACGTCAACGGTCAAAGTGGTGTAAAAAGTCTAATTTTAGATTGACTTTTCTTAGTTTCTGATAGATTTTGATAGTTTTGGATTCTTAGTTTTTAACCGATCACTGGTCAGGAACTAGTTAAAAATGCACTGATGGCAGGACTGGTGCCGTTAAGTTCATTTACCGTTACGTTTCATACTCATCAGGTTACGTTTTTTTTATATAAATTTAGTCCGAATGGTTGAATGGGCGGATTTGAGGAATCAGAGCCCGCACTAAGCATAGCTTGTTGTGCTGACCCTGACCCCACCACCCGATCGCGCAATTCCAGTTGTATGGCAGGATTTTGTCCGAACGTTTAACGTGCCCTCTCGACTGGACACGGTCCCCTCCGCTCACTCACGTTACCTGGCTTCTGTGCGGTCTCTGCCACAGACACGCACGCCATTACACGTAGGAGCTAAATGTGGCCGCCCGCACCGGGGCTTGTACCGGGCTCTCACTACCCGTTAAGCGTCGAATTCCGGCGCTTTTATCCACTCGGCCACGGAGAGGACAACATTTTACATCATACATTTTCATCATGTTTCGGAGACATCATACAAAACGTAAAGGGGGTCAACTTTATTGCCCTCCCCCTCCCAGGCGGCTCGTGGGTTAAGTTCCTTGACCGTGCTTTCTTGATATATGGAGATAAACCCTCGCCGGCACAGGGGGGGGGGGGTTGATGCACCCCCCCTAAGGTTTTTCGCGAATAACTCGCGTAAAAAGCGGCCGATCGCGACGAAACTTTCAGTACCCTCGCATTGATCAATTTTACACCTACCCTGAAAATATCATGACCCTGACCCAAATGACCTTTGACCTGTGACCTCTTTTCCGAGACCATGTGTGGCCGGAATCGCGATTCGGCGTATGTCGGCTCGCATTAGCCGCGCGTTTGCAACATTTTCGTGGTTTCAAACGTTCAAACATGTGATTTGATGTTGCTCCCATACATAAGGGTGAGTGTCAAGGTCGCCTGAAGGTCAGGTCAGGTCATTGACCTTTGGTGACTTCTGCTCACTTTTTCGAGTTTTACATGTTTCTAGGCTAGTTTTTGTAGCTGAATTCGAATTTAGCAACCATTTGAACATTTACGAAGTAGTTTTGGTGCCTTCGTAACATGTTACGAAGCTGTCAGAGGCGGATGACAGATACTACGAATACCCGTCACGACCCCTGCCGGTTGACCTGACCTGACCTGACCCGACCTGGTCTAAACGCTTAACGACATCATCTGTGATCAAAACTAACACGATATTCGTGATCAGCACTAGAGGTGGCAAAAGATGAAAATTTTGGGAACCAGACTCGAACCAGACCCGGCTGGATATTTCTGGAACCAGTCAGACCCGGTCTTAGTTGGAATCGGAACCAGTTGGACCCGTTCCCCAAAAGTCAATTAATACAAACTACTTGTAGGTATCGTTAGTTGCATCGGTTGCATCAAGTAAAACAGCCTATTTCCCACTGGGAATACTCACGAGCTATTGTGTGCAAAGAAACATTCACTTCATTCACTTCATATTTTGCAATAATGTGTAGTGTGCAATATGTATAGTTTATGGAAGGACCCGGTTGGACCCGACAGAAAATTTCCTGGAACCGGTCTGGACCCATATGGGTCCAGACTGGTTCTTTGGACCGGGTCCTCGGGTCCACATTTTGCCACCTCTAATCAGCACCCCGAAAACCCCTTAGCAGCCACACTTTACGACTTTCTAACCGGTCCCGATATTCCCGATTTTTGGGTCATTGACCTGACCTGGAAGGTCAACCGATGGCCTAGGACCTTAAAATTGGGTATCATTGGCTTCCTCTCGTGACGGGCAACACGCTCGTTTTTTCCGCGAAGCTCTAGCTCCATCAGGGGCCAAACGCGTGGGGGTCGTACCCCCCCCCCCCTTGTGCCGTCGAAGGACTCAAAAATGGTCTGTGCCGGCGAGGGTTAACAAGCAGTTCACACTCACTTATCAGTTGTTAATGCGAGAATCGATGGGACTAAGACGAATGGTACAAAACGCTCTACTAGCTTTTCTGCGCGAACGTCTACGACCCTTATTTATAATAGCATTGGGCTGAGACAGCTTGTTTGCGTGGCAATCAAGTAACTCATTTGAAGAACCATAAAGCGGCCAGCGATGTTTTGATTTGTTGACATGCGACATGCGATTCTTTCTCAGAGTTAGATATGGATAATGCTGATCACGAATATCGTGTTAGTTTTATCACAGATGATGTCACAAACATTCTCACTTAATTCTGGGCGCTTTACAATCCCAACACTCTGACTATTTAATTACGAGGCGGGATGGGCGTGTCTCGGTGGGGTGGCGTCGGCAACGGGGCTCTCTGGACAACCTCTAATGCGCGACGCGTTCGGCTTGGTGGCGGCGACCGGCGATTTAGTTTGTTTGAATCCATTTTAAGTTCTTGTATATGTGTGTATGTGTTTATTTGCTTGTATGTTTTTTAACAGAGATGGTGCCTCGAATTAAGCACTTTCGAGTGCTTTTGCACCAGTTCTTACTTATCTTGATTTTGTGTATTCTTTTGTTTCTTAACCCGCGCCCTGCTGGGGGGGGGGGGGTGTTTGAACACCCCCCCTTGTGGTTTTTCGCGAATATCTCAAAAACGGCGGCGCGGAGGCGCCGCCGTTTTTGGTACACCTTATCATACATCAATTCTACACATGTTGTGAAAATTTCAGATCAAGGTCATTCGAGGTCAGGTCACCAGGTCACTTGAAGTGACCTCACCTCATAAAAAGTTTCAATGTCTGTCATAGCTACACCGAGTGACCGATCGCTTTGAAACTTTCAGCGATTGCTAAGAGCAATAGCATGTACAAAATGTATGTCTCAGAATTTTGATATCGATGACCTAAGGTCAGGTCAATTTTGCGACCTCCCCATTGTAAGTCAATGGGAGAAAATTGAAATGCGCCTCTTTTGGATGAAAGACATTATAAACACTCCCAAACACCGAATTACAAGTGGTTTAGACACACTGAACTTGAAAATGGTGTCCGTGACCCTTGTTTATGCCCTGAGGTCATCTTAGGTCACAAATGGTATCTAACGGTTTTTCGTAAATAACTTTTGATAGAGGCATGCTAGAGCGATGATAACGCCTTAGATGTGTTCAGCTCGACGATACGGATCGACTGATATGCAACATGACCCTTTCCGGTCAGGTCATGACCTTGACCTGAGGTCAAATTTTCAAGTTGACCTTTCAAGGTCAAGTTATAGTTCATTCGATGCGTCTTGACGAGAGGAACACGATGCCGGTAAAAGTAAGCTCGTACAAGGCTTGGGTCAAAAGTTATTGCAGAAAAACTGTTTTTGAAAAAATCGGCTATTTTTGCAGTTTTTGCCCCCTGCAGGCAAAACCGTTGACGTTAGGTCAAATCTGAGAGAATTACTCAGAAAGGGCGTTAATAGGGCTATCGAATGCGCTTTTCCGCGGCGCTGTAGCTCTATTGGTTCCCGAGTTATGCGTTGGCTTCTTGGAAATTTTCGACATTCGACCTGGAAATCGGCGAAATTTTGCCTTCAATGACCTCTGGTGACCTGACCTTTGATCTGACCAAAAAATTGACCGAAGTGATTTCGTCATTATTTTTGACGCTCTTTCGAACGCCGCCTTCCGCGTATCGCTACGTGGCCCAGGAGCCGAGTTAGAAGGGGGGGTGTTCAAACACCCCCCCCCCAGCAGGGCGTGGAAATCCAGGACCCCCAGCAGGGCGCGGGTTAATAAACGTGATGATGATGATGATGATGATGATGATGTCTTTAAGCATTTAGACCAGGTCGGGTCAGGTCAGGTCAGGTCAACCAGTAGGCGTCGTGACGGGTATTCGTAGTACGTGTCAACCGCCTCTGACAGCTTCGTAACATGTTACGAAGTCACCAAAACTACTTCGTAAATGTTCAAATGGCTGCTAAATTCGAATTCAGCTCCAAAAACTAGCCTAGAAACATGTACAGCTCGAAAAAGTGAACCGAGGTCACCAAAGGTCAATGACATGACCTGACCTTGACATCCACCCAAATGCATGGGAGCAACATTAAATCTCATGTTTGAGCGTTTGGAACCACGAGAATCTTGCAAACGCGCGGCTAATGCGAGCCGACATACGCCGAATCGCGATTCCGGCCAAACATGGCCTCGAGAAATAGGTCACAGGTCAAAGGTCACTTGGGTCAGGGTCATGAAATTTTCAGAGTAGGTGTAAAATTGATCAACTCGAGGGTACTGAAAGTTTCGTCGCGATCGGCCGCTTTTTGCGCGAGTTATTCGCGAAAAACCATGGGGTCCATCCGCCCCCCCCCCCCACCTACACATGTGAGGGTTAAAAATAGTTTTATCTAACCAGCATTGGTGGTTGCAGCAGACTGATTGTGACAAGTTATCTCGAATCTATTCAACATGTGACTCGCGTTACCCTGAGACGTCTCAACCTTTGGCTCAAATGGCCTATACATATTGTGAATCGACTCGACTTTGATTTATTAAGCTTTCAAATTGTTTGATTCGCTTCAACTCATGACTTAAAGAAAATGACCGATTCTTGAGTCGATTCATGATTCGACTCTTGAGTCGTATACAACCCAATAATGAGACCATTTAAGTACCGAAAAGCTGTAGGATATTAGAAATAAGGGGATGGCATTGGTCTGAACGGCCACCATAGTCAGCGCTGCTGAGGCTGGCCACCCGGTCTTGCAAACGTCACCCGTTTGTCGCAGTCCTAGTTATTCCTAGACATACATAGGTATCTGAAAACCAATCCATATATTTGCAAATGTCATTCCACTTATGTATGGATTGACGGCTAATGAACGTTTCTCGATATAGTTATGTTCTTTTTGCTTATAGGTAGAGGCTGCTCTCACAAATAATCCGTCAGATGATGAATTGTTGAAGTTGAAGAAAGATTTGCTGGAGGTTATTGAGCTCACGACGGATCTTATCCGCGCTCAAGCTCCGGGTTCTTCGACGTCGCAAGGTAGGGACGTTGTCTTCATTTCCGTTGACATTCTGAGTCATCATACTGATAAATTTGGTAAAGAGCTGTACTTGATATTGTCTGTTATTCTTCTCAATGTTGACAATTATCGTAATTCTTCTCGGATTTTCAAAACATTTATAATTATAGGTATTAGGTTGAAAACTTTCACAAGCAGATATTTTACCAATTTAAGTATGAAAATGATTTGAATCAGCAACTTAACCTGTTTGGATAGACCTGTTTGGTATTATTAGGTAGAACTACGACATGAGCTTCCGATTACCGGCTCGTGTTTGTTTTTACCGATGTCCATATGTCTATCTTTGCTGTCCTTTTTCTACGCATGACGGGTATGGCGATGTTTGCAGATTCGTCTGAGGTTCAGGAGCCGATCCGCGACTGGGAGGTCGGCGACAAATGCTCAGCCATCTGGTCGGAGGATGGACAGTAAGTGCCTCTCATGGAACCACTACGGACGTTCTCGGTGTCAAATATCATCTCGGGCCTCGGGGTGGTGTTTGTTACTTGTCGGTCCTCGGACGTCCAATGAAATTTCTGCTGTTATATGGCGACAGATACATGGCCAAAAACAACACTTCTCAAACAAATGCTGATGATTTCCTCTTAGCCATAGCATTCTGTCTCTTACGAGTTGTGTCTTATGCATGGAAGAACAGTGTCACTGACTTGGTCGCCGCACCGGCAGGTACTACAACGCGCTGGTGGACGAGGTGACCTCGGACGGACAGGTGATGATCCACTTTGTCGGCTTCAAGACGGCCGAGGTGACGCGGCTGGCGCTGCTCCGCGACCCGCTGCCCGAGCAGCCCAAGGCCGAGGACGGCGCCGAGACCTCCAAGTCAGGGTGAGTCAGCTGCAGGAGCCCGGAACGGGGGCGACGTCGCAAGGATAGCTATTATGCGCATCTGGAACCATTCAGGGCGCCTTTCTTAGGCACATTTTAAGGGACGAAAACGAGATAAATGAAGCTGGAAAATGGTAAAGCTTTGTTACTTGCGCGCTAAGAAGCATTGTCCCATTCACATTTCATGTTCCATTATTTGGAAGGCCAATATGTCTGAGCTAGCTTGAATCGTATCTGTCTGCGTCTTGGCAGGTAACATTCGAGAACGATGTTGATTGCGTTACGTATAAAGGTGGAAGTGATTTCGCGGGCAGCGTTGTGGTAGACTGGTGATAACTCACCCAACTGCGACCTCTGCAGTGTTTCAGGGCCGTGAAAACGGCTGTAAGCCGTAGATGGCTGTCGCACACCAAACCACCGATTTTGACGACGCTGGACAACCGTACAGTGGATTTTGAGTCCATTTTGTATCTGTACTGTCCGTATCGCCCCCTTTATTCTCTTTCTGCTATAGCTGTTGGGAATAATGTCGTGTCCATCGTTGTCTTTTTCACAGTGCCTATAACTGATTGCTATTAAAGTAGGTACGATCTTTGTTAACGTATTATTTATAGAGAAATAGCCAGCCTGTAGACGTATTTCAGGTGACATTTTACTTGCGGCCATCGCTATTGTAAGAATTAAAGGTAGGGATGTTGTGCCATCGGTGTCGCTACATTCCATTCAGGTGTAGTCTCCCTTCCAGGCGCACGAACACGACCCGCCTTCCCGGTGCCTACCGAAGCCTGAAGATGCCTGGGAGAAGACACCGACATTCCGGCACCAACGCCCAGAATCCCGACCGTATTTGTGTCCACTACAACGGTGTCATTGTCTGGTGCCCCCTGTGTTTTGATCCCCCCAATATCGAGACAATGTACCGACCAACTCTTGTCGGTCTCTAGACCGGATGCACCGGCATGAGTGGTTGATGAGTTGCAGGAGCTAATAGTATGTTGATATTAACGTTCCCTTGTATAACGTCTGATTTCAGGCGGAAGACGAACCGTAACCAGCAAGAGTACTTGAAGCGCAAGAAGCAGAAGAAGGTACAGCGTTTCAAGGAGATGGAGGAGGTTCGCGAACAAGAGAAGAGCAAGTGGCAACAGTTCAACACCAAGGTAATTTTTGCAAGGGTATATTTTGTTGTCTTACCTGTGTGTCCATTCCCGGTTTATCTTCCCGGGGCGGATCATCAAGCATTTAAATGTTGATTATTCTCTTCTATCATCGGCATCTGTTGCAAGATAATCACAGCATTTTTATCTACAGGTAAGCAAGAAGAAGAACATCAAAGGCTACACCAAGTCGTCCATTTTCAAAACGCCGGAGGCTGTGAACGGCAAAGTGGGCGTTGGAACATGTGGCATCGGAGGCAGGCCAATGACCTCGTACACCACAGCGGACAAGTGGAAACGCGGCGTCTAGCGAAGCCTAGAAGCGTGTGTGGCTGGTGCTCTCGCAAAGAACCTGTCCGTTGCCGCGATGTCGCGTTGACATCTCACGGACTGGATCGGACGATCGTATCTATCCTCAAGGATCTCCACATCAGTTCGGCCGCGGCTGCAGTGAGTTTCCTCTCGCTGCTTCTCGTCAAACTGATGGGTCAGATACGTGAGTGGGTGCTTCTGACAACCCGAGATGCCTGGCGTTGGAACCAGACACGCTGGTGAGGCTGTCTGCCAATGATTGCTCCAGTGTTCACATAAAGACCTTCGAGCGCTGGAACTCGGATCCGCGCGGACGCCGTCAGGACCTCCTGCTGGCCGTTCCGTGTGTCCGTGCGAACCGTTGCACGGATTTGTGGTGTGCTGGGGACGCTCGAGTCATCGTTGCCCATGTCGTGTGGACGTGACCGATTCGAAAGTTGCGCCTGTGCTTGAATGTGTCAGGAGGTGTGTATCTAAGAGCTAGGAACTGTATGTGTGCCTGCCTATACATGTGGATGTGTGTGTCATGGGCTGCTGAAGTCGGCGAACTTGATCGAGTCTCTTTGTGGGTGGTTGAATGTTTCTTCCTTGTTTTCACACTGGAGACTGCAAGTCATATGATTGACGTGTGCTCTACTCTTTGGAATGTATGACGATGTGTACAAAATTAAATACAAATGAACATAAGTTACTTATCACTGATCCGGTATTCTGCGATGTTATACCACCACATGACTGCAACATTTATTTACACATTGTGAGGATTGTCTCCAAAAGAACACCGAAAAGGATGAGGAGACGAGCCATAAGTCGCGAGCGAACGCACCCGTATCTACGAAATAGGACCGTCAAAGTAAAGTGCTAAAATCGGTTGCTTGGCGTTCCGTATTTGATTTGCGAACTACGCGAATAAAACCACGAGAAACAAAACACACGAACATACAACAGGGAGCGCAGACAGTTTCCATTGAATTTCCCTCTGCGAATACTACTGAGATCAGCGTTTGAGGCTCTCACTACCTCACATACATCTCACTGCGTCAATAGTTAGCAGAAACATACTCGCTATGCCGCCATTATCAGTATCCGTTTTCGTCTCGGGTCCGTTGCTGCCGGGCTGGATTAGTTGGGCATGGGCGTGGTGCGCAGGTACTGTTTGCCGGAGGGCACCGGGTGCACCTGCACGCCGGCCGGGAACATGTCCTTGGCCTCCTCCATGCTCAGGAACGGCACCACGAAACACTTTTCGCCAACCTGGAACACAATGGCACTCTGTCACAGGAGGCTCGCAAGTCAGGGTGGGCTTGACTTATGATTGATACTTCAATGGCAATGTGATTCAAGTGACCTTCGTTTACCACATTTCCTTCTAAGGACCGGGCATAACTAAGAGTATACCAAGGCGCCATGGGCTTAGAAATCAGATGAATGTACAAGTATACGACGCTTTCCATTTCCACCTCGAGCTGTAGGTATGAACACTATCCCGGAGAGCAGGTGGTCATGAGCTGGCTACGTACGGCGGCTAAGCAAAGGAGTTGCGTGCATGTGTGTGTGTGTGTGTGTGCATCACTTACCACGCCCGTCTGGTATTTCTGCGTTCAGGCTCCTCGACGGGAGCCTGCTCCTCAGATACGGGTTTGCGGCGTATAGGCCGTCTCGTCTACCAAGGACGAAACCAGGAGTACGGATTGGTGGAAGAAATAAACAGAATCGTGAATAACATTACAGAATGAAAGTAGGCGCCGGGAAATGTAACGTAAAATCATGCTTAACTTAAGTTTTTACCGAAGCGTAAGCTGGGAGCATCTCCCCTATTTTAGCTTCCTTTTCTCTCTAATAACCCTACACCTTGTTCGTAATATCAGAGAGCGGTCAGTTGGCAAGGCGCCTCAGTGGTGTCCTCACCTGCCACTGCTCCGGCGTGACCACCTTGTGTTTGGCAGTGACCAGCAGGGACTCCATGATGCGCTGGATCTCTCTGGAAACGGTCAGCGATCAATAAGAGCTCATATCGTTCATATCTTGTAGGACGCCGACGGGGAAAGACGAGAGACAAGTCAGTCTTCAGAGGTGCCTCACGTACAGAACGCAGCACGAGATCGGTTAATTGACGGCCAACTATTCAAGGCAAATTAAAAGCTGTCTCAGCTGGTTGCCCGTCGGCGGTCGGACAGAGGGATATGAGTGTCCGAATAAGCAAACTTGGTGACGGGAGCCTGCTGTGCGGCATGTCCGCGCAACGTTCACATCCTCTACAAATCCGTGTTAATGAGGCACTACGCTGGCAAAGTTTTCACTCTTGTGTGATGATGATAGGAACTTGTGTTTATGTACAAATGTGGTGCCCCATGCTGATCACTAATCCCTGTTTTCAGAAGAATGTCCTTCCTACCGTCCTGCGGAATGCCTGCTATGTTCGGCTGATTCCCGGCTAAATGCCAAATGAGATTATTAAATTTCAGCCCTGGATTCCGGGTCATCTGCCGACCGAACTCTTCCAATATCGCGTCTGACCCGTTCCTCCCTTCCCGACTCCCGCTGTGGCCCTCTCGTCCCCATGTACCACCCGTGCACCTGCACCTGCCACAGCACCCTCCAACTGTGCACTCACGCAAAGTTCCTGCCGGTGGTGCCCGGGTAGAGCATGGAGAGCTTGAGCCGCAGGTCGGGCCCGATGATGAACACCGCACGCGCGGTGGCCGGCTTGTTGTCGAAGCGCGGCTCGTCGGGGTCGATCATGCCCAGCTTTTTGGCCAACTGGCGCTCCTCGTCCGAGATGATGGGGAACGGGAACGGGCCGGAGCCGAGCCCGTTGTACGCGCGGATGTCCTCGATCCACGTCCTGCCGAAACGGGCATGGGGTATTACTAGGGCGCCTGAACGGAACGGCACATGCAACCGCGTTACGATTCCCGACTTCTAGCTGACCTCAGGTCAACAGCATTGAAAAGCGAAACAACTATGCCAAACTCGATGAGATGCTCACCACGAAGTTTGAGGAACATCTGGCCTCACTCTGAGCTGGATGAGTGCAAAAATAAAAGTTTACATTTGACCCAATAAGGTACGGTAGTTTTGTGACCTGGTGAGGTGACCTGACCTAAGGCCAACGGGACTTGAACTTTCCATGAAATATGTATAGTGACCCATGCACCGTTTTTATTTTATCCGCGAAAATGGCTTTGGGGTTGCAACACTTTCTGTCCGCACTATGGTTAAACGGTTCCTTTAGATAGACGGGTCTGCTAAATTTCAGCTGCACTCACTTGTGTGACGAGACGGGGTCGCAGGAGATGCAGGCCATTTTGACGCCGCGTCGGAGCAGTGCCGGCGCCATTTTGGCCGCGGCGCCCATCTCGGTAGTGCAGACCGGCGTGAAGTCGGAGGGGTGCGCCAGCAGGATGCACCAGCTGCACAGCGGTTCGGCAGATATAGCCGTCAATGCACGTAGCTGCATTGTAGCTGGCTGATATGGAATACCTCGGTTTCTTTACTAAACGTCCTACTTAGAAGACGTGGTTTTAGTTTGGTGTGCATTATTTGGTCACCGTCATATGTTACCGTAGTAAAATTATTTTCCGTAGGTATCGGGTATAAGTCATAAATAATCATGATAAGCCTAGCATCTGTCTGATGATTAAAAAGGAATAACTCGTACCTCCTGTTTGACTTTTTTTGAAGGAGGTTAAAGCGGCTAGTAACTTTTAATCAAATTATTATAGTTTTCCCGATACCTACCTAACTAAGAACTGTCAGATGTCACCGAAATATTCACAAGCATGGATGTCATTCTTCACCAAAGGAATAATATGACTTAACCTATTCTTTTCAAGTTCAAAGGTTGCCTTTGGTACATCGGCACTAGGTAGGTAGGTACTTACGATCCACGGATGAAGTCGTGAAATCGAATGTGGCCCTCGGTAGACTCCGCCTCGAAGTTTGGAAATATCTCGCCGAGAACCACCATTTTGTCTGTAATAAGTTTAGGTTGTGTCTATATTATGCTTTTCAGGTTATGGTGTTTAAATAGGACAATTAAAATATATTGATGCTTCCGACATCTAATTCAGCGAGGACATAGGTATAAAGTCATGTCGGCATGTCATGAGCAAATAAGGCGTTTTCCACACGCAGTTAGGGAACTGTAAATTTAACGCTCTTATCCAAAGAGATTCTGGGAGATCTCAGATAAAAAAACTTGTTAACGTCTAACGATGAGCTCGATCATGCAGATGTTCGGCATTCGTCCAGCCGCGCAGCGTCAGCATTGTCAGTGACATGCGGTACAGCATAACACGCAGGCGTTTACTACTGGCGCCACCTATTGGAAGGAATATAAGCATCACGTCGTCTTCGATTGGATCTGATACTATAAAGCTTTTCATTTAGCATATCCACATAAAAGATGCTGCTGTTATCGACCTCATCACATTAATAGATCACATGGATGATTTTTAGGCATATTTTAGCAGTTAACTGTTGATGTAGCGGGACGGATAGCACTTAGCAGGAGCCAGGGTAAAGAACTACAAGTGCTCCATAAAGGCTTATAAGGTGTTATGAGGTAATTTTTACTTTTTAGGTGTACAGGGCTTACATAGCCTTTACCATTCACTAGGTTCGTATTTATTCGTTAGTGATTGTGTCTCACAGTTGAGCTTGCACAAACCGACTAATCTATTTCGTGTCTATTTAATTTTTTTACGCTGCAATCTAAAACTCGGGGCTGGAAATAAAGTTGGTATCATTTTATGCCGGTATCCGTAGACATACCTATAAGTCCGCAAACAGTAGAGACTAGAGGGCAGTGGCGCAGCCAGGGGGGGTCAGAGGGTCAGCTGACCCCCCCGAAATTTCTGTCGGGGGCCCGCTCGAGAGAGAGAGAGAGAGAGAGAGAGAGAGAGAGAGAGAGAGAGAGAGAGAGAGAGAGAGAGAGAGAGAGAGAGAGAGAGAGGTCCTAATCTAATTGGACGAGCCCGCTTCGAGAAATGCCTACTGGGACACCACGGGTGAGGGGTCGGCCTGGGGCCCGGGCCCCGGGAGAACGGGCCCGGGCCCCCTGGGTGGATGGGACCCGTGCCCCCGTGGATGGGTCCGGGCCCCCCGGTGGATAAGGCCCGGGCCCCCGATGGATGGGGTCCGGAGCCCCCGGTGGATGGGTCCGGGTCCCCGGGAGAACGGGCCCCGAGCCCCAGGTGGACGGGGCCCGAACCCCCGGGAGAACGGGTCCGGGCCCCCGGATAAATGGGGCCCGGGGCCCCCGGTGGATGGGCCCGGGTCCCCGGGAGAACGGGCCCGGGCCCCCGGGAGAACGGGCCCGGGCCCCCAGGAGAACGGTCCCGGGCCCCCTGGGTGGATGGGGCCCGGGCCCCGGGTGGATGGGCCCGGGCCCCGGGAGAACGGGCCCGGGCCCCCTGGGTGGATGGGGCCCGGGCCCCGGGTGGAAGGGGCCCGGGCCCCCGGGAGAACGGGCCCGGGCCCCCAGGAGAACGGGCCCGGGCCCCCTGTGTGGATGGGGTCCGGGCCCTGGGAGAACGGGCCCTGAGCCCTGGGTGGACGGGGCCCGGATCCCCGGGCGGATGGGGCCCGGGCCCTTGGGAGAACGGGCCCTGGCCCCCCGGGTGGATGGGGCTCGGGCCCCCTGGTTGACGGGCCCCGGAGCCCCGGGTGGATGGGTCCGGAGCCCAGGTGGACGTGGCCCGGGCCCCCGTGTGGATAGGGCCCGGGCCCTCGGGTGAATGGGGCCCCCTAGGGCGACCCGCTTGCTCCGCAACGCGAATAAGGGGTATTTTCGATCGGTGGGCGTTTGGTTGGTCTTGTGTCCGTGGGTTATGTATCCATTTCGGTCGATTGCCTTTTGACGGCTAAGTATTTTGGTTTTGGGAAAAAATATCCATCGCATCGAGGTGCTCGTGTCTGGTAACCATACGTTCTACTATAGAACATGTCAAGTATATTTTATAACATAGGTTGACGTAGGCTACCTATTGAAAAATGGAGGTCATCGATGAATTACTATGTAAAGGTTTGAAACGTTTATATTTTTAAGAATATTGTAGCTCTTCATGCAAAAGCGATGAATGGATCTTGGACAACATTGAATGCTCTTTTCAACTATGCCATTTTCAATTGTCAAACGTACCAGTTTATGCAGCAAAACCCGTGTAATTAAGTAGGTAAGTCATGAACAAATGCCATTTTCTTCAGCGATTTGTTCCACCTTGTTTTTGATCAATTAGCTTTTTACAATTTTTCCATGAGAGGCGGTACGTTTTTCTTGACAACAGGCGTTGTTTGAACCCGCTCCGTCTGACAGTCACCCGAAAATAGCATTAAGTCCAAAATCAGTCCAAAAGTCAATTTTTCAAGCATAAGTACCCTTACGGGTGCACGTGGCACGTGCCATCCCTGCACCGCACACCATTCGATAGCCCTTCGATTATCATATACGATACTGTGCTCCCCGTGCCGATCGGACCCACGGTTACCAAGATACTGCACGGGGACCGGACCCGTGTCGGGCAAATTTAGCTATTTTCGCCCGATTTTGCGAGCCGATTTATACATGTAAAGTCTATGACGCAAATGTACACTTTTTGAGCACGCGCCATGTCCTCACCACCGGCCCGATTGAGCTGAGACCCCTCACAGGCACGTTGCCCATCCTTGTTCCATCGGTTGCGCAAAGTTCAGCGCACTGGGTGCAACGGTCCCTCTAGCCTATACCTACCCCGCGCTAAGTAACACCATGCCGGGACCACGGTAACATACAGAATCTACGTCACCACATCATCACACCACAACAAACCCGGCCCAAGGCAATACATGTCTCGTGAGCGCGTTAACCCTAGAACGCCTAGGGGGGGGGGGTTGTATCAACCCCCCCCTGAGGTTTTTTCGAAGTGCACGCTAAACGGCTTGTCGTAGCGGGCTGAAATTTTCAATACCCTCTGGGGCAACCTTTGCGCATCTTTTGCCGAAAAAAAATTGATCGGGTCATGTCAGGTCACGGAGTTATGACGTCATAAGAGGTACAGCCTCCGGCCGACAGTTACCAAACGTGTGCGCCGAATCCCTAGGTTTTCTGCCGGTGATACCCACATTGTTTGATGGATCATGATGAAACTTCCCATGCATGTTGGGGCAAGCATTGGCTATCGTGTGGTGCAAGAAAATTGACCGGGTCGGGTCAGGGGCCGATTCGAGATGGCGCACTAGGAAGCTAGTAAGACTAGGCGACCAAGTGACACTTGAATGTAGTGACACTAAGCGGTATTTTACAGCAATCGGCTAGTGGCTCAGCGCGAACCGAAATCGCATAGTGACGCTTGAAATCAAGTGTCACTAGGGCCTTAGTGCGCCAACGTGAATCGGTCCCAGGTCACGGAGCTATGACGTCACAAGAGGAACAGCGTCCGGTACTATTTTTGAAAAGCGCCCGAACCACTATTTTGCTAATTCTTGTCACCTCAATGGGAATATGCAGCAATATTAGCTTCTATAGGGAGCAAATGGACCTCCCAAATCCAAAAATACAATCAGATTTCAAAAATTTAAATTTTGATTTTTCGAATTTCTGCCGCCGACTGTGACCTTGCCGACTTCCGGCGCTCCCAACGCGCCATTTCTAGAGCTAGGGAAACGAAATACATACCAAACGATAGAGAATTGATCAAGGAACACGATAGTGAAGGTTTCAAGTCGATATCTCCCACCGTTTTGCCGCAATCGCCGCGGAAAGTTGAAAAAGTTTGATTTTTTCGGAAAATTTGACCTTTGACCGGTCATAAGTAGGTCAAATGTTGACCTAGGACCAAAAAATATACCACCAATCGCGAGATCTCGTTGAGAGCAATCCGTTGGTTTTTTCCGCTAAGCTCTACGACCTTCCGTTTCGAAACGCCAGGGGGGGGTCGTAACAACCCCCCCCCCCCTGGTCGTTCGTGTTATGAGAAATGGCCTGGTCGTGCGAGGGTTAACCCTCGCCGGCACAGGCCATTTTGCGTCCTTCGACGGCACAATTACGACCCCCTCGCGTTTGGCCCATGATCGAGCTAGAACTTTGCGGAAAAAACGAGCGTGCTGCCCGTGACGAGAGGAAGCCGATGATTCCCAATTTAAAGGTCCTAGGTCATTGGTTGACCTTCCAGGTCAGGTCAATGACCCCCAAAAGTCGGGAAAATCTTGACCTGTTAGAACGTCGTAAAATGTGGCTGCTATAGGGCTTTTCGGGGTGCTGATCACGAACATTATGTAAGTTTTGATCACAGATGATGTCTTTATGCATTTAGGCCAGGTCGGGTCAGGTCAGGTCAGGTCAGGTCAACCAGTAGGGATCGTGACGGGTATTCGTAGTACATACGTGTCAACCGCCTCTGACAGCTTCGTAACATGCTACGAAGGCACCAAAACTACTTAAATGTTCAAATGGCTGCTAAATTCGAATTCAGCTAAACAAAAACTAGCCTAGAAACATGCATAGCTTGAAAAAGTGTACTGAGGTCCTCATAGGTCAATGACCTGACCTGACCTTCAGGTGACATTGATATCCCCCCCCCCCCCTATGCATGGGAGCAACATCAAATCACATGTTTGAACGCTTGAAACCACGAAAGAACTGCAAACGCGCCGCTAATGCGAGCCGGCATGCGCCGAACCGCGATTCTGGCCAAACATGGTCTCGGAAAGTAGGCCAACTTTGGCCTACTTTCCGACCTTAAGGTCGGAATTTGACCTTGAATTGACCCTTGAATTGACAAATGACCCTTAGGTCATTTGGGTCAGGGTCATAAAATTTCTAGGGTAGGTGTAAAATTGATCAACGCGAGGACACTGAAAGTTACGTCGCGATCAGCCGCTTTTTACGCAAGTTATTTGCGAAAAAAACTTTAGAAGGGTTACATCAGCCCCTTCCCCCCTGTGCCGGGAGAGTTAAAACTTCTTGTGAGCGAATTCACGCAATGAAGAAGAATAAAGGCACAATCTACTACAGCAGCCAAGGATGACTTGGAACAGGCACATGGGACTAGTTAAATAGGTATTGCCCGACAGAAGCAGGCAACAGTTCCGATTGCAAGGGGCACATTTCGGCCTCGAAAGATACGAATTCTTACGTCATAGTAACATATTTCTGTCGTGGTCAATTTGCGTAAAAATGGAACACCGGGTGATTACCGAGCTATTGTTCTAGCCAAATGTTCTGATTCAAACTCGCTCAGGGTTATCGTGCAGGTAAAGGGGGCCCGCTCAGCAGAATGTGCATGAAATATGGAGAGATTCTGAAAAATGGGTGGGGGGCCCGCACACTAGGGGGCCCTCTTTGGAGGCGATGACCCCCCCGAAATGAAATCCTGGCTGCGCCACTGCTAGAGGGTATAGTTGCGAATGGGGAATGGGGATTACCTAATATAGGGGAGAGCGGGGCCAGTTGAAACACGGGGTCAGATGAAACATGGCTTTATTTTCAACAGTATGCAACATATGGCGTTGCCGACACCACTGCGCATCCGCGCTCGACCACTTCCTTTGTCAACGGCGTTTGGGCGGCAAACGGACATTAATTTTGATTTGACACTTGTTTTTGTGTTTTTGAGGGGCGTTTGGGAGAAATCGTTTTTATGAATATTTTGTGATATCTCACATACCTTTGTTTGCTGAAAGAAGAACTCCTGGCTCCGGAATAACACCTTATTTGGCCCTTCATTCAGCATGATGCCGTCCCTCCAGCTCGTTTGACATGTACTTTACGGTGCGTGCGAGATGGCGGGAGCGGATGGGGTCAATTGAAACGCTTCTCTGAGGGTCAGTTGAAACAGGGCCACAGGCCGTTTCAATGGACCCCGGTGACCTTTGCAATGGTTATTGTTCAGGGGCTGTAAACATTAAAGGAAATAGTCCACCTTTGAAATGAGCTTTTAAACTGAAATAGTAGTTTAATAGAGCTCAATTTTTGACCCCTTTATCTCCAGCCTTTTGCTTGAAAGCACACTATAGCCTGAGATATTTCTCATTTTTCTCATCCGCCCATTTTACCATAGTCTATGTACTTTATGTCACCTATTATGAGGAACTTTGCACTTTTAGCTTTCCAACGACCTATTGAATGCAGCATTTGGAAAAGTAAACCGGACAAAATATCTCCTTAAGAAAGTGGCCTTAAAGAGGAAAACATCCCATTGATAAGGATAGGTGCAATTGACCCCATGGGCTGATTCAATTGACCCTCGCATCGGGGTCATTTGAAACGGGCGTAGAGCTGTTTTATAAGCATGCGTTTGGCAGCAAAATATGTTTGAAACATAATTTTACATATCTTAGAATAAAGCCAAAAGAGCATATTTTGTCATGGCATTGTGCATTTTTCGATATGACAACTAGATCTCGCTGTGCATGTCAATATATAAAAAGTGGTTCAACTGGCCCCGCTCTCCCCTACTATTGGCTGACGGATGTCTAATAGTTCGCTAGACACTATAGGTGGGACTTCAAGAATGACAGCTCACCTTTAGACGGCACCGACCCTATGTCTGTCCACCTCTGGAACAGGTTCTGTGAGACGTCTGCGTCTGTCTCTGTCTCCGTCTCTGTACTGCCCGGACCTGTGAGTCGGCTTTTATTGCTCGCGGGCACAGAAGTTCGGCGCGACTCGCACAAGTTTATGTCACGTGTTCGATGGAAGGCGGAGCTAGGGGAGGCAGTAGGCTCCGGTAACAAGTGACGGTGGCTATCGACCGATGCTTTTCGCACTATGTGGTACTACCAATAACCCTCGCCCGTCCTGATCGCCAGCGATTGCTAAGTTGAAAAACCGTTGTTCGTTGAATCTGTGTCCGTGGGGAATACGCTGAGCACTAAAAATAATCGTTACCTTTTATATGTATAGCAGCGTTCGGAGAGCACACTTTTTGAGACAAAATTTATGCCGGACCCTGTATACTACCTCGTCTGCCACCAGGGTGTTAAGTTAGCAGCCCGTATGATGTTCGCTTACGTTCATGCCGTGTATCAGCCCGGCACATCAACACATGCCATGCCCAATGACAATGTTTGCTCACATTACATTACGTTTTATTTTAGAATCACCAGTCAAAACATCTGCGAGTCGCTCACGCACCGGTACGCCAATCATATCACGCTCAAAAACGCATACTTACATGCCCTTCGCTCCGCGGGGCTGATGTATGATATATCTGTTTTCACGACGGCTATCTGGTACACATTTGGTTCAGATTAGGTGCAAATTTGGTGCAGATTTGATTTGGTCAAAATAAGGTTCATTGTGTTTCTTAACCCGCGCCCGGCTGGGGGTCCTGGATTTCCACGCCCTGCTGGGGGGGGGGGGGGTGTTTGAACACCCCCCCCCCTTCTAACTCGGCTCCTGGGCCACGTAGCGATACGCGGAAGGCGGCTTTCGAAAGAGCGTCAAAAATAATGAGGAAATCACTTCGGTCAATTTTTTGGTCAGGTCAAAGGTCAGGTCACCAGAGGTCATTGAAGGCAAAATTTCGCCGATTTCCAGGTCGAATGTCCACAATTTCCAAGAAGCCAACGCATAACTCAGGAACCAATAGAGCTACAGCGCCGCGGAAAAGCGCATTCGATAGCCCTATTAACGCCCTTTCTGAGCAATTTTCTCAGATTTGACCTAACGTCAACGGTTTTGCCTGCAGGGGGCAAAAACTGCAAAAATAGCCGATTTTTTCGGAAACAGTTTTTCTGCAATAACTTTTGACCCAAGCCTTGTACGAGCTTACTTTTACCGGCATCGTGTTCCTCTCGTCAAGACGCATCGAATGAACTATAACTTGACCTTGAAAGGTCAACTTGAAAATTTGACCTCAGGTCAAGGTCATGACCTGACCGGAAAGGGTCATGCTGCATATCAGTCGATCCGTATCGTCGAGCTGAACACATCTAAGGCGTTTTCATCGCTCTAGCATGCCTCTATCAAAAGTTATTTGCGAAAAACTGTTAGATACCATTCGTGACCTAAGATGACCTCAGGGCATAAACAGGGGGTCACGGATACCATTTTCATGTTCAGTGTGTCTAAACCACTTGTAATTCGGTGTTTGGGAGTGTTTATAATGTCTTTCGTCCAAAAGAGGCGCATTTCAATTTTCTCCCATTGACTTATAATGGGGAGGTCGCAAAATTGACCTGACCTTAGGTCATCGATATCAAAATTCTGAGATGAACATTTTGTACATGCTATTGCTCTTAGCAATCGCTGAAAGTTTCAAAGCGATCGGTCGCTCGGTGTAGCTATGACAGACATTGAAACTTTTTATGAGGTGAGGTCATTTCAAGTGACCTGGTGACCTGACCTTGAATGACCTTGGTCTGAAATTTTCACAACATGTGTAGAATTGATGTATGATAAGGTGTACCAAAAACGGCGGCGCTCCGCGCCGCCGTTTTTGAGATATTCGCGAAAAACCACAAGGGGGTGTTCAAACACCCCCCCAGCAGGGCGCGGGTTAAAAGTTGTCCACTTGGGGTGCACAGATGCTTAAAGACATCATTTTTCAAATTATCAGACATTATTTTCGATTAAAACACTGAAATAAATTCATGATATAAAGAATGAAGATATTTGTGTAAAAGAGACTAGGTGCAGATTTGGTTAAATCAGGTGCGTTCGGCAGATAGCCCGTCGTGAAAACGGCTGTTAGGGGAGAGTGCCCAATCTGCGCCCGGTCTCCTTATCGCGCCCGCGTCATTTTCTGTGAACCCAAATAGGTCGATTGGTGTTTACAAAACAAGTTATTAGGTAATAACAGTCATCAAAACAATATTTTTCGACCTACCACCACCAGCGTAAGGTTGTAAGCCGCGTACTTGGAGTGGTTTTGTAAAATGTAGTGGTTTCTTATCCTGAGCCTGCTTACTTATTGAACTGTTACTGCTGTTCGTGAGGAAGGGTGGTTAAAAAGTGATTTTAGTAGTATTATGGTATACCAGTATGTTCAATAAGTAAGTTCCGTTTTGATATAACTCGCTTATTTTTTGGCATATCTCAACCAGACATGGCTCACGGCTCGACGAACTCGCCCTGCAGGCGAACGCATCGGTCCCATCGTTTGGCCAGGTCCTGAATGGCCGCACGGAAGCTTTGAGTGAGGGTCTTTTCGCCATACTGGTAAATAGCAGACCCGAGTGCAGACCGCGAGCCGAACCTCCGGTCCCAGAGATTTTTCTTCATGTCTGCGAGCAGCCAATAGTCACTGCGTGCAACGTCTGGAGAGTAGGGATGGTGTTAGAGCACCTCGATGCCCTCTGCCTGCAGGGCATCCCTCGCCACGAGGGCACGGTGAGGAGGCGCGCTATCCTGGTGGAGGATGAACCGACCACGGGCCTTCTCGAGGCGGCAACTGGCGATTACCTACTGGCAGGAGATGGTCTCTGATGATCCTGGCGTAGGCTTATGTTTAGGCTTTCTGTTATCGCCTGGGCAGAAATCTGTCTGCTGGCCATTACCATCTCCTCCACTTTGGCGACGTTAGTGGCTGTGACCATCGTCCTCAGCCTGCCTGCACGTGCCAGGTCGCGCACGCTCTCCCTCCCCTCCCCAAACGTTTTCTTCCACTTCCGAACTGCGGAATCACTAAGAGCATGGCTCCCGTACACATTAACGAAGTTGGCGTGGATGTTAGCCGCCGGTTAGCCCTGGATAGCTAGGAATCGTATCACTGAAGTCTGAAATGGACCATAAAACATGTGTCACGTGACCGACGCATGATATAATATTTCCGTGACCTGTGATGACCTGACCCTGACCTGAAAATCAAAGTACAAGTTTGGAACCCTAAGGGTATCTACAGTATCTGTTCATGAGTGTGTAAACCAAAAATGAGCCTGATCTGACTTGTAAGGCGGCGGCCAGAGCCCAAAATGTGAACAAGCCAAAATGCTAATAATTTCTACTTTGACCTGACCTGTGACGTCATCGGTGACCTCGAGGTCAATAAAATTAGGTTTCGCGCCACAGTTTTACCGGGGCTATCAGACACCGTTTGAATTTTGAAGATCGGCCCAGTAGTTTCGGAGTTAGGAGGGGGGGGGGGGCTATGAAGAGCCCAGTGGGGCGCAGGTAAATTGCAAAAGGCAGGAAAAGAGACAGCGTTCAGTTTAACTTCAAATAAATTCCGTCCCAACTTAACCCTATTAGTGGCAGGGGGGGTTGTTTTTATCCACCCCTCAGGTTTTTCGGGAATATCTCCGAAACCGCTGAAGCTACGATGCTGAAATTTTCTGACTTTTCCTAAAACTAAATTGGGCACATTCCCTGAAAATTTCAAGTTCATAACTTTACCAGGGGCGGCTCCAGAGCACTGGGAATTGGGGGGTCCTATTCGTGAAGCGAGTCATTTGGGCGAAGATCACGATGCTGCACCAGTTTTACGAACAGTGAATGAAAGGTATCATGTGATAACATATACAAAGTTATTGTGCATCCTCTTTTGACACGTTTTTGCTATAATAGGCGGATCCAGGCGTCCAAAAAGGGGGGTTATTTTTTACCTCCCAACATAGGTGCCCTGACACCGCCATGCATGACCAATACAATTTTAGTCGTTCTCTCATAAGAAAATTGTAACATAACAAGACCATTGCCACCCTTTTTAGAAACAGTACCAACAAAAACCTTATTTACTATACTTTTTGTGTACCCCCAATCTCAATGATCTGTATCCGCCTATGATTTTTGAAAATGCATATTTTTAGGATCCATGTGCATTCCTGGTTCATTCTCTATCGATCGGCAAAAGTTGCGTTAAGATTGGTTCAGAAACCTGGCCGTGATAAACAGTCTAAAATGTATCTGCAATTTGCCCTTTTTTACCCCCCTCTACCCCCCTATTGACATTTTTTAATTTTATTTTTTTTAGAAATGTAGATCTCGTTGAGCCAAATCGAATGCCGTTTGAATTTTGAAAATCGGCCCGTTAGATCTCGAGATATCAAGGGGGGGTCGTAAACAGCCCCCCCTGCCACTAATATGGGGTAGCCAGGAGCCTGCCACTAATAGGGTTAAATAGGTATTTTAACGAAATTCTTTGCCATGGTATCCAAATAGTTACATATCAAAACCATACCAAAGATGACCGAAATTTGGTGTATTTTCGATGACTATTTTGTAAATGGTGAGACTTAAAAGTTAGGAACGTTTTTATTCATGGTGTGTCAAAAGTGGAAATAGCCGCCCGGCTTTAGTTCGCCAGCCTTGTCAATAGATGGCAGTACCACAATATGGGCAGCGGATCGTGCAATTGACGTCAAATTTTCGTTATCTGCTAAGAATTGAATGGCGGATCTTTTCATGCAAGAATCAAGTAAATCGGTCCACAACTTTTCTAGCAACAGAGATATGAAGTCAAACACCCTGCCAGAGTGGCGGCGCGGCGGCCGGCGGCAGCCTGGGAGACTGGCGGCGCTGAACGGTTCCGAATTGGCACTGCACTAAAACTTGTTAACTGCTTGGAATAGTTATTACTAGGGTGACCCGCGTGCTCCGCAACGCGAAAAGGGGTATTTTCGATCGGCGGATATTTGGTTTTTCATGTGTTGGTTGGGTTATC